ACATCATTGTTATTTAGTTGATAAGTCACCTCTTGCAACCCCGTGCACTGTAGCCTCTCAGGCTCCTCTGTCCCTGGGATTTTCCAGGCAGGAATACTGGAGTGGGTTGCCATTTCCTTCTCCAGGGGATCTTTCCAACTCAGGGATCAAACCCACAATGTCTTTACTGGTTAGTGGATTCTTTACCACTGAGCCAGCTGGGAGCCCATAAAGTATATAGGTTGAAAATAAACACTTCTTTCCTTTTATAAGCTCCCTGACAAACCTAAAGTCAACAGAAGGAAGGAAACAATAAAGATCACAGAGGAAATAAATGAAATAGAGATTTAAAAAATAGGAAAAAATCAATAAAACCAAGAGTTAGTTTTTTATAAGGGTAAACAAAATTGATCAGCATCAATAAAAGAGAGAGGACCCAAATAAAAAAAAATAAGAAATTAAAGAGGGGAAATGACAACCAACACCACAAAAATAAAAATAAAAAAATAAGAGAATACTATGAACTATTACCCAACGAATTGGACAACCTAGAAAAAAATGATCAAGTTTCTGGAAACAGCCCACCAAAACCGAATCAAGAAGAAACATGTAAGTTAAACAGACCAATTACTACAAGTAAAATAAAATCTGTAAAAAAAAAAAAAAAAGAGGGGGGGAAGGAAAGAAAGAAAACAAAAACAACAAAAAAAGTCTCCTTGCAAACAAATGTCTAGGACCAGATGGCTTCACTGTGGAATTCTACCAAGCATACAAAGAAGAACTTATACTGATCCTTCTCAAACCCTTCAAAGAGACTGGGTGAAGATAGGATGACTCTCAAGGTCTATCCTATGAAGCCACCATTACCCTGATATCAAAACTTGACAAAGACATTACCAAAGAAGAAAATTACAGGCCAGTTTCTTTGATGAATATAGATGCAAAATGTCTCAAAAAATCTTAGCAAACTGAATCTAACAACACATGAAAAAGATCATACACCACAATGAAGTTGGATTCATTCACCCCTTGGACCCAGGGTCATAAGAATGGTTCAACATATACAAGTCAATCCATGTGCTACATACACTACATCAACAAAAGAAAAAAAAAACCACACAATCATTTCAATAAATGCAGAAAAGGTATTTGATAAAATTCAACATCCATTCATGATGAAAACTCTTACCATAGTTGCTTTAGAAGGAACATATCTCAACATAATAAAAGCTACTTATGACAAACCCACAGCCAACATAATACCCAATGGTGAAAAGTTGAAAGCCTTCTCATTAAAATCTGGAACAAGACAAGAATGCCCACTCTCATCACTTTTATTCAGCATAGTCTTGGAAGTCCCAGCCAGAATAATTAGAAAAGAAACCTAAATAAAAAGTATCCAAATTGGAAAGGATAGATAAAACTGTCATTATATGAATATGACATGACACTATACATAGAAAATACTAAAGACTCTATGCAAAAACTACTAGAACTGATAAACACACACAGGAAGGTAGCAGGATACAAGATTAACATACAGAAATCAGTTGCATTTCTTTATGCTAACAATGAAATATCAGAAAGGGAAAGTAAAAGAACAATCCTTTTTAAAATCACATCAAAAAATAAAATACTTAGGTATAAATCTGACCAAGAAGGTGAAAGACTTATAAGCTGAGAACTATAAAACATGATAAAGGAAACTGAAGGTGATTCAAAGAAATGGAAAGATATCCCATGCTCTTAGATTGGACGAGTTAATATTGTTAAGATGGCCATAGTGCCCAAAGCAGTCTACAAATTTAATGATATGCCTATCAAATTACCCATGACATTTTTCACAGAACTAGAATAAATAATCCTAAAATTTATATGAAGCCATTTAAGACTCAGAATTACAAAAACAATCCTGAGGAAAAAGAACAAAGTTAGAGGCAGAGCCTCCCAGACTTCAGACAACACTACAAAGCTACAGTAATCTAAACAGTGTGGTATTGGCACAAAAACAGATATATGGATCAATAAACAGAATAGAGAGCCCAAAAATAAGTCCACACACCTATCTATGGTCAATTAATCTTTGACAAAGGAGGCAAGAATATACACTGGAGAAAAGACAGTCTCTTCAGCAAGTGGTGTTGGGAAAGCTGGACAGTTGTATGTAAACTAATGAAGTTAGAACACTCCCTTGCACAATACACAAAAATAAACTCAAAATGGCTTAAAGATGTAAGTATAAGACATGATATCATAAAACTCCTAGAAGAGAACATAGGCAAAACATTCTCTGACATCAATTGTACCAATGTTTTCTTAGTCAGTCTCTCAAGGCAACAGGAATAAAAGCAAAATAAATAAACAGGACCTAATCAAACTCACAAACTTTTGCATAGCAAGGGAAACCATAAATAAAATGAAAAGGCAGTCTATGGACTGGGAGAAAATATTTGCAAACGATGCAACCAACAAAGACGTAACTTCCAAAATATATAAACAGCTTACAACTCAATAACAAGAACAAAACCCACCCAATCAAAAAATGGGCAGGAGACCAGAATAGACATTTCTCCAAAGAATAAATGTCATACAGATGGCCAATAGGTACATGGAAGATGCTCAGTATTACTAATTATTAGAGAAATGCAAATTAAAACAACAATTGAGATATCATCCCACATCAGTCAGAATGGCCATTCTCAAAATCTACAAATAATAAATGCTGGAGAAGGTGTGAAGCTAAGAGGACCCTTGCACTATTGATGGGAAAGTAAATTCTCTCTACAGAGAACAGTATAAAGTTTCCTTAAAAAACGAAAAATAGAGTTATCATATAATTCAGCAATTCCATTCCTGGACATATATTAAAAAAGATACATGCATCCCAATGTTCATAGCAGGACAATTTACAATAGCCAAGACATGGAAGCAACCTAAATGTCCATCAACAGGTGAATGGATAAAGAAGATGTGGTACATATACATATATAAAATGGAATACTACTCAGCTATTAAAAAATGAGAGTCCCTTGGACTGTAAGGAGATCCAACCAGTTCATTCTAAAGGAAATCAGTCCTGAATATTCATTGGAAGGACTGATGCTGAAGCTGGAACTCCAATTTTTTGGCTACCTGATGCGAAGAACTGACTCGTTGGAAAAGACCCTGATGCTGGGAAAGATGGAAGGCGGGAGAAGGGGACGACAGAGGATGAGATGTTTGGATGGCATCACAGACTCAATGGACACGAGTTTGAGTAAACTCTGGGAGTTGTGATAGACAGGGAGGCCTGGCGTGCTGCAGTTCATGGCGTCGCAAAGAGTCAGACACGACTGAGCAAATGAATTGAACTGAAAAGAAAAATGAAGGGAAAAAAAAGAGTGAAATAATGCCATTTGCAGCAACATGGATGGGCCTAGAGATTATCATACTAAGTGAAATAAGTCAGAGAAAGACAAATATCATATGATATCACTTATATGTGGGATCTAAAATATGCCACAAATGAACTTATTTACAAAAGAGAAACAGACTCACAGACATGGAAAACAAGTTTATGGTTACCAAAGGGGAAAGGTGTGGGGAGAGAGATAAGTTAGAAGTTTGAGATTAGCAGATACAAACTACTATATATAAAATAAACAGCAAGGCCCTACTGTATAGCAAAGGGAACCACATTCAATATCTTGCAATAAACTATAATGGAAGAATCTACACGTATATACACACACATATATATATGAATCACTCTGTACACCAGAAACTAACAAAACATTGTGAATTAACTACTTTCATAAGAAAAGAAAAAGAATTAAAAGATTATAAGCTCCTTGAAAGCAAAAAATGAATCTTAACAGCACAGCAATGGCTGAATAGAAAGAGTGTTAAGTAAATGTTTACTAATAAATGAAAGAAGGAAAACCAAAACCAATGTATTCCAAGACCCTGCCCCCAGGTAAGGCAAAGGTTGCTAGTCTATACACATTCTCATTCTTACCACTCAAAGTGAAGTTATGAACCCTTGACATCACCTGGGAACTTCTTAGCAACACAGGATATATAAACCCAGTCGAGGACTAATGGATCAGAAGATCCACTGTGGCCTGATCTCCGGGAGCTCTGTTTACAGGTGACACTTGGAGAAGCACCGCTTAGTCAGGAGTAATGGAGGAATGAGCAGGCCTGAGTCTCCGGGAGGAGGGCATCTTGTGGCTGTAGCCGGGAGGGACCGGGGAAGACGGGATGTCAGGGAATGTCCAGAGTGATTTCTCAAGTTGTGACCACTGTCCATCAGGGCCTGGGCTGATGGCCAGACAGCTCTGCATCAGAGGAGCTAGGACCTGGGGCTGGCTGGCTGCAGACTGCAGGAAAGTGTGAGCAGCAGCGGGGGTCCTTCCCAGGTGGTGCTAAGTGGGAAAGAACCTGCCTGCCGACGAAGGGGACTCAGGAGATGCGGGTTTGATCCCTGGGTTGGAAAGATCCCCTGGAGGAGAAAATGGCAACCCACTCCAATATTCTTGCGTGGAAAATTCCATGGACAGAGGAGCCTGGGGGTTCCAGTCCAAGGGGTCCCAAAGAGTCGGACACGACTGAGTGATTGAGCGTGCGTGCCCATGGGCAGAGGTGGAGTTACAGAGCTTCAGCCCGGGCTCGAAGGCAATGTCCAGAGGTCAAGGAGGTAAGAAGTCAAGTCCAGGGGTATTAGGTGAGAGAAGCCACAACCGGTTATACTGGTGCACAGAGCCAGAGTCTAGAGAACAGAAACAGACACTTCTACTAATGCTCAGGGCTTTCCAGGTGGTGCTCATGGTAAAGAACCTGCCTGCCAATGCAGGAGACATAAGACACACGGGTTCGATCCCTGGCTTGGGAAGATCCCTTGGAGGAGAAAATGGCAACCCGCTCCAGTATTCTTGCCTGGAGAGTCCCAGGGACAGAGGGGCCTGGTGGGGTACCGTGCATGGGGTCTCAAAGAGTTGGACACGGGTGAAGTGACTTGGCACGCACGCACGAATACTCACCGAGCAGCCGACGGGTAAGCGAGTGAGTTCTCCTCTTAGGAAAGCCTGCCCCTTGCTCTGGGTCTCCACCGCTCAGCGTGTAGGTGGGCGCGCTTTTGCCCACCTGTCTCTGTAGGCTCGGGGTTACAGTGAAGGCAGGCGAGACACTTGCTAGTAGGTTCCTGTCCTGCTGATTTAGAGACAACAGTGTGGGAAAGTGAACGTTTCAGAGACTAGCCTTGAAATTTTTGTGAAAAACTAGGTGGACATCCCCAGGGCCTTCTGCTCACACCCTAACCCTGTGTGATTTCAGTCAGGAGTGGGCTGTGCTTCAGGAGATAAGAAGCCGACATCCCCCAGTCACCCAGATACCCTGACTGGTATAGGACAGTGGAAGTTACAGATCCAAGTAATGGGGGAAATGTGCTTAGGAAATGCACAATGAGACTCACTTAAAAAATGTTGGTAGGTCCATGGGATAGCTGCCTACGAAGGGGTCACAGGGATTAGCAGATGTTTCTTATGATGACAGTTTTTTCAGAAGTTTTCCTGACCTTCTGCCACACTAAGAGTTTAGAAAACATATGGCCACTCTGGAGGACAATATGAAGATCCGTGAAAAACGAAAATTAGAACTGCCGTTCAGTTCAGTTCAGTCTTCGGTCGTGTCTGACTCTTTGTGACCCCATGGACTGCAGCACACCGGGCCTCCCTGTCCATCACCAACTCCCAGAGTTTACTCAAACTCATGTCCATCGAGTTGGTGATGCCATCCAACCATCTCATCCTCTGTCATCCCCTTCTACTCCTGCCGCCAATCTTTCCCAGCATCAGGGTCTTTTCCAATGAGTCAGTTCTTCGCATTAGGTGGCCAAAGTATTGGAGTTTCAGCTTCAGCATCAGTCCTTCCAATGAATATNTCACCTCCACTAGCTTTGTTCATAGTGATGCTTCCTAAAGCCCATTTGACTTCGCATTCCAGGATATCTGGCTCTAAATGAGTGATCACACCATCGTGGTTATCTGGGGCATGATCTTTTTTATATAGTGCTACTGTGTATTCTTGCCCCCTCTTCTTAACATCTTCTGCTTCTGTTAGGTCCATACCATTTCTGTTGTTTATTGAGCCCATCTTTGCATGATACATTCCTTTTGTATCTCTAGTTACCATCAGAACTATCATAAGACCCAGCAATCCCACTACTGGGCATATGCCCTGAGGAAACCATAACTCAAAAAGACAAATGCACCCCAATGTTCATTGCAGCACTATTAACATTACCCAGGACAACAGAATTAATTTAACATTCACAGACAGATGAATGGATAAAGATATGGTACATATATACAGTGGAGTGTCACTTGGCCATTAAAAGGAACAAAATTGGGTCATTTGTAGAGACAAAGACCTAGGTCTGTCATACAGAGTAAAGTTAAGTCAGAAAGACAAATGTCGTATATTAATACACACATGCAAAATCCAGAAACATGGTACAGATGAACCTATTTGCAAGGCAGGAATAGAAATGCAGAGGTAGAGAATGAACAGATGGACCCAGGGCAGGGGCAAAAGGGGGGTGGGATGGACTGGGAGGTTGGGGTGACATACACTCGCTGCTGTGTGTGAAGCAGATCGAGGGAAGCTGCTATGTCTGACAGGGAGCTCAGCATGGTGTCTGTGATGACCTAGAGGGGCGGGGTGGGGGAGGGGAGGAAGGTCCAAGAAGGAGGGACTGTATGTATACAGATACTAGATGCAGCTGATTCGCTTCACTCTACAGCAGAAACAAACAAGCACTGCAAAGCAACTCTACTTCAGTAAAAAAGGCAGCGCTCTTAACCCCAGTAACTATATTTGACATTAACATTAGGTAATCTTCTGAAAATTTAACAGGGAATTGTTCACAACTTAACTGATGACAAAATACAACCATACAACACAGTGTTTGGTATTTCTAAGGCATCTCTGTGGTGGATGAATAAATCTCTCCCAAAAAACCCATCTAACAGGGGGAAAAAAAACACACCAAATAAATATGAGTTAACACTGTGCTAAAATTTTTCTGAATTTGCAAGAATTTAAGTAGACAAATTCCAAAACTGGCTCTCCTTCTTAGTATGTTTGAGATAGTATTACCCCCAGAATTACTTTTACAAGCACTGTAGAATGATTCAGCAGGTTAACTCGACACTCTGCTTAAGTATCATTTTATTTAAAGTAACACTTCCTGGTAAACAGGTTTTTAATTAAAAAGGAAAATTATATTTGCATCCCTGAAAGATTAGAAACTACAGACTATTTAATTATCTACAGTTTCTAACTTTACTTATCTTTGGCACCAGTTACAAAGGAAAACTACCTGCAAGGGATAATTTCTCCCACAATAATCCCTTCCAGGACTTAACAATTTATAGTGTCCACCTATATGATTTCATTTGATCCTCTCAACAGTCCTGTAATGCAGGTTTAACAAGAATTAGCATTAAATTAATTTTATATGTGAGGATGCTGAGGTCATGGAAGCTAGATGACTTGCTCATGGTCATCCTGCAAGTGGGGTTCAGCCAGATCTTGAACCCCAAGTTGGTGACCCCAGGTCTATCTCAGTGTTATTAGCATCAGGTAAGCCATGGCTAAGTCTACCTGATGTCTTAGGTCACACTGCAGAGGGACTTTGAGAGTCTGCTAGAGCAGTGATTCTCAAACTTTATTTTTTAGAAACCTAAAGGTCCACAGTGATACTTAGGAAGCCACTCTAGGGAAGTGATAAGTCTGGGTCCTGGACTACTGTTCCAAACTGCTGCTGCTGCTGCTAAGTCGCTTCAGTCGTGTCCGACTCTGTGCGACCCCATAGACGGCAGCCCATCAGGCTCCCCTGTCCCTGGGATTCTCCAGGCAAGAATACTGGAATGGGTTGCCATTACCTTCTCCAGTGCATGAAAGTGAAAAGTGAAAGTGAAGTTGCTCAGTCATGTCCTAGCGACCCCATGGACTGCAGCCTACCAGGCTCCTCCGTCCATGGGATTTTCCAGGCAGGAGTACTGGAGTGGGCTGCCATTGCCTTCTCTGACTATTCCAAACTAGCTCTGTGTTTATGTCTCCTATGCTGGTGTCTCAGGTAAAATTTCTTTAGAAGAAAGTATTCCACTGCTTTCAAAAGATGTTTGAAACTCCAGAATAATAATCCAAACTACTCATTTTATAGATTGGAAAAGACCCATAAAGATCATGTAACTTATCCTGTTCACACTCAACTAAGACTAGAAACCAGTCCACTACTCTGTGATTGGGATAAAAGTTAATCCTCTCAGTATGGTGCTTTGTCTGCCTCTGAAGTTCTCTGACTTTAGCATGTAATCAGGAACACTTGCAGGGCTGGTCACAGAGTTCTGAGTCCTCTCCCCCGCCTCCCTCCACTGACAGCGGTTCTATTCAATAGGGCAGGGGTCAGGTCTGAGAACTTGCCTTCCAGGTGATACTGATGTTGCTGAACCAGAGAACACATTTTGAGAACCACTTGTCTACAGGCTATAAAACAACAGAAAAGTCAACTGCATTGGCCAGCTAATTGTTACATTTCATCCATTTTATTTCGATCTGGGAAAATGGTAAAAGGAAGTTCCTCCTTCAGAATTTATAAACTCATTGCTTTTACCATATTACTACACATTCCTCAACAGCTAGCACTGATATTCTATCACATCAAAGATCCTAAACGATCCATGTAGCAGATGGCATTGGTGTTCCAGCCCATAGCCCCTTATCCAGCTTCTGAGTTCATCTGCAATTGCTCTGGGTAGTTTGCATGCTCACTGCCAGCTTCCCACCTCAATGGTTGACATGTCTTTGTGTCTCTGTTTGGGGACTTTCTTTAGTCAACAAGAGCATGCTCAGTCCACAAGCACTGTGTGTGTCTGTGTGCATGTGTGTATGATTAATGTCCCCACTTTCCAGGGCGTCCTTCAAACAACAAGGCCATGACGCTGCAGAAAAATACTCCAGAGTCACCATCCCTCTGGGGGACAACTGTGAAGCTTGTTCAAATGACTCCCCAGAGGGCCCCTAGTGAGACTGAGCCCTGCAGTCTTAAGGAAGATCAACCCTGAATAGTCAGTGGATGGACTGACGCAGAAGCTGAAGCTCCAGTATTTTTGTCATCTGATGCGGACAGACGACTCATTGGAAAAGTCCCTGATGCTGGAAAAGACTGAGGACAGGAGAAGAGGGCATCAGAGGATGAGATTGGATGGCATCACCGATGCAAGGAACATGGGCTTGGGCAAACTCTGGGTGATGGTGAGGGACAGGGAGGCCTGGTGAACTGCAGTCCACAGGGTCACAAAGAGTCGGACACAACTGGGTGACTGAAGAACAACAAAACAACAAACCCAAGTTGAGTGCACCCGATGGGTATTAAACAACACAACGACTGTTGCTGCCATAACAGTGGCAAAAATACAGGCTGTCGAATCACATGCAGATACTCATGACTCATTAACTGCACACTTACGCAGTCAGTCTTTAGAAAGAGGCCCAAGTTCATGTAGTACCAGATCTGTGAAGGATGACAGCTGAAAAAACCTGGCATTATGAATATTTTTCAGGCATGACTATAAAAAGCAACCATCAATTCTGAAATGGAGATAAGTTTCCTTTTGTGCTGTTAAAGCAAGATTAACCTTCAGCAAATATTTACATTTTAAGGAGTGGAGTTTCAGCAGTGATGACATCAACATTTGTCAAACTGCAGTTTGAATCTCAATTTAAAAAAAAAGAACTATCAATTTAAAAAAAAAGAACTATCTCAGAAACAATTAAATTGTCCTCAAATTGAAGGCAAATAGTGGAGACAGATCCCTCTGGTTAAAAACATAATTAAATTAATCAAACTTTATCCTAAATAATAGAGATATTTCAAGTATTTAATTCCACTGATTGTTGGTGGCTTAATTTTTTAAAGAAAACAGCCTCATTGCGGCATAACTGACATATAATAAACAGTACAAATTTTGACATGTGCATGCACCTAGGAAACCACTGTGCTGGCTTGGTTTTGAAGGCAATTCTACCTAACTTTGAGTGTATATCATTTTAAAATCCAATTTCTGGAATAATTCATTAATTATTACACTTATATAGTGACAATTATGAGCTAAACCTCTTTATATTACTCCCTATTTTAAATG